AAGGTAATGCATGAATCTATTGGACTGAAGCCAAAGTTATACCACAGACCTCAGAGAATTGGAAATTCCAGGAATGTGCAACAGCTGCTGAGGAAAGATGCAGGCTATAAGTGAAACCAACATAAATGAGAAGCTATGTGGGCTGCAGCTGGCAAAGGTAGGGATGGTATGCTCAAGTCCTTTGGAGGTGATATCTCACTGTAACTTGTCAGGGTGCCAGACATGGAGCTATAACATTTAATATTTGCTCTCCTGGCTTTCAGTCTTGCTTTATTCCAACGCCTTCTTATTCCCCCACTCCTTTTTAACATGCTATTGTATACTGAAGTAGTTAAATATCTTTTTTATTTTCAGTAGGAACCAGTAGGAGTTTGCTTTGAATCTCAGAAGAGACTTTAGATTTGAACTTTTCATTAATGCTGGAACTATAAAGACTTTGACAACTCTTGGAGACAGACTAAATGCATTTTGCATAACGAGATGGACATGAGCCTTTTACAGCCAGGGGCAGATTAGTATAGCTTAAATGTCTCATGTTTTCAGATGTAGAACCTTTGGAATGTGATTGGATCATAGAGGTGCTATTCTCATCAGTGGTTTAACCCATTGTTAAATTATAGTTGAATGTGTTGTTAAGAAGTAAGCCCTATTCAGGGGAATCTGATGATATTTCTCCCACTCAGTCAATCAGAACACTGTAATATTTAACTGTGATGGCTCACATGTACAATATCAAGTTGTATAATACTTTCTTTAATAAGTATATTTTTTTGTTTCGTTATGTCTTTAAAAATGTCTCTACCTATAAATTATGATATTGTTATTTGAACTGATATATAACCTTCAATTTATATTTATAGAAGGTTTTATTTTAAATCAAGAATATTGGATATGGGCTGGTTATTTAGCTCAGCGGCACAGTGCCTGCCTGGCAAGCGCAAAGTCATGAGTTCGATTCCTGGTACCAGGAAAAAAACAAAAAAACAAAACAAAACAAAAAAAAGAATATTGGATATTCTTCACTTGCTTTGTCAGCATCACTAGAATTTACATATGCAATAGATTCTTGAACAATAAAATGTGATCACCAGTACAATAGGGAATACATTTTTCTGTATGTATGACATATAAGGCATACTAAAGAAAGATGTCTGCTAAGAGATTACTGTTCATTAAACATAGATCAACAAGTATAAAACATCACATAACTAGAATAGAGAAAAAATCATGTGACCATATTAGCAGATACTAAAAAAACCTTTGACAAAATTCAGTATCCTTTTGCTACAAAATTCTAATTTCAAATAAACTAAGCATATACAGATCTTACCTCAATGTAATAAAGGTTACCTATGACAAATCCATAGCCAACCTTATACTCAGTGGGTAAAAACTGAAAGCATTTCTTCTAAAATCAGGGATGAAACTAAGGTATCTACTCTCACACTCCTGTTCAGTGTAATACTTGGAATTTTAGCTAGAGCAATTAGTCAGGAGAAACAAATAAACGGTACACATAGGAAAAGTAGAAGTAAAATTATTCCTGTTTGCAGAGTGACAGGAAACAAAAACAACAGAAAACTTAGGGGTTTTTATACACAGGAAAATCAAACTTGCCAAGGAAGAAATTAGGAAACAATGCTTCACATAAAAGTTTCAAAAAGAGCAAAGTACCTCACCATAAACCTAACCAAGTAAATAAAAGATCTTTGTAAGAAAAATTATAATATATTAAAAATGGAAATTAAAGATGACACTGGAAGATGGGTCTTACACAATCATGGATCAGTGAAATTAATATTTTGAAAATAAACACATTGCTGAGCAAAAAGTGCAATGGTGGAGGTATAACGATATATAATCTCATATATACTACAAAGCCATAGTAACAAAACAGCATGGTACTGCATAAAAATAGAAACACATACAAATGAAATAGAATAGAGGACATAGAAATGAACCCATCCAACTACAGCCATCTGATTCTTGTGAACATAGTGGAGAAAAGATAGCTTCTTGAAAAAAAATGGTGCTGGGAAAACGATTTTAATATGTAGAAAACTGAAACAAAAAAAAAAAGAAAATTGGAACTAGATCGTATATCTCATGCTGTTCAAAATTAAATTCAAAGTGCATCAAAACCTGTGTAAGAAATGAAATTTGAAACTGCTAGAAGAAAATATACGGGAAACACTAGAAGTTATAGGCATAGACAACGATTTCTTACAAATGAGTCAAACAACACACAAAGTTATACAAAGAGTCAAGTGGGATTACATCACATGATGAAAGTTCTTCACAGCAATAAAAACAATACAGAATGAAGAGACAGCCTAGAGAATGAGAGAAAACCTTTGCCAGCTACACCTGTCTAACAGAAAATATTCAGAATACATAACGAAATGAAAAGAAAAAGACTTAACACCAAAATAACCCAGTGAGTAACTGGGTAGATGACCTGAACAGATACTAAAGAAAGAAGTACAAATAGCCAATAAGTATATGAAAAAATATACAGTATCTATAGCCATCAGGGAAATTAAAATCAAAACTACATTGACATTCCATCTCATCCCAGTCAAAATGGTTATCATTAAATGTGTGTGTGTGTGTGTGTGTGTGTGTGCGTGTGTGTGCATGCACATATGTGTGTGTATATGTAGGATTCTGGGAAAAAGAAACACTTATGCACAGTTGGTGGGAATGTAAATTAGTACTGTCACTATGGAAATTAGCATGGAGTTTTCTCAATAAACTAAATATAGAGCTACCATTTGATCCAGCCACATCACTTCTCAGTACATTCCTGGAGGAATTAAAGTACATATACTATAGAGATGCCTGCATATCTATGTTCATTATGTCACAGTTTACAATAACTAATTATGGAAAACAGCCTAGGTGTCTATCAGTAAATAAATGAATAACAAATGTACAAATCTGCAGTGGCATATTATTCTATCATAAAAAGAATAAAATCATATCATTTGTTGAAAACTATGTGGAACTGGAGATCATCATACTAAGCAAAATCGACTCAGGAGACAAATATTGCATGTTTTCTCTCATAGGTGGCATCTAAAAAATAAAAGGAGTATGTGATAGAGGGAGAGATACAAATTGAAAGTAGGAAAGTTGGAAAGAGGAAAATAATAAGGAAGAAGAGAAAGAACAAATATACAGTAGAGAAGTTCAAACTATGTTTTATCTATTTATGAATTTGGTAAGATAAAACACACTAATTGCATACCTCATATTTAATAACATATAATCTGTAATATATAATCAGTATAATTCATAATAATATAATCTGTATAACTCATATGTAATAATAATATAGATATGTACTGCTATACACTATCAGCTATTTTTGGTATTTACTGACTTGATAGCAATATAATTTTAGAGATATATTATTGTGATAATGAAGATATACTTCAGGTAGGAGGACCAATCTTATTTTACTGATTGTTTTCTTCTCTTTATATTTTCTTAGCTCTAAATATTTATGATATTTTATGTAGATCATTTTCACTTGCTCCAGGTCCCAAAACATAGGGGATAGATATGTCTATCACTATGGACTTATGTTTGTATCTCCCTAAAATTTGGATATTGAAACTTACCCTAAAAGTTAGAGTAGGAGGTAGGACCTTTGGAAAAGTAATTAATTAATGAGAATTATGCCTTATAAAAAGATGAAGGGAGATTAAAAGAGACTGTGAAGGGAACTGCACTGCTCCTTCTACCATATGAAGATGCAAAAGCAAAGTGCCATCTATGAAATCAAAAATGAATACATATCAGCCACTGAATCTGCCAACGCATTGATCTTTCAGTTTTTAATCACTAGAACTGTGATAATTAAACATCTATCATTTATAAATTACCCACTCTAACATATTTTGTTGTAGCAGCAAGAGTAGATTAACACAGATTGGTACCAAGAAGTGAGATGTTGGATCAAATACCTATATATGTGGAAGTGGCTTTGTTATGTGGTAATAGTTAAGGAACAGAAGACTTTTGAGATACACCGTTGTGAATGGGCCTTTAAGCTTCATTCTGATGAGGGCTCAAAAAAAGAGGAGAACTACAGAAACAACTTCAATATTTTCAGAAATTCCTCAAGTGTTCATGATCAGAATGTTGATGGAATCACAAACCTGTGGACATGGAAATCAGGGATGTTTTATTATAAACTAGTGAGAAGGCAATAATTGTTACAAAGTAATAAAGAACTTGACTGAATTATGATGCTCACATTATAGTGTTATGTGGAAGATAGAGTTTATGACCGATGGAATAATGTATTTGGTGAAAGAAACCTTTAAATACTCAAGGTGTAACACAGCTTCTCTTGGATGTCTATGGTAAAATATGAGAAGAAAGAAATGAATTAAAGATGGAAATTATAGTAAAAAGAAAAGCACAATTTAAATATTTAGAACATTCTAAGCTTGGGAGTGCTAGCCCTTTCATGGTGACCATTCTTTTGGCAGAGAGGTTGGGTTGGAGGCCTGAATCTGGACCACAAGTGTCTGGATTCATTTACCCGTCTCCATCAACAGTACAAGGAAAGCCTATAAAGACCAAAAAACAAATTTACTCACAAGTTGGCCAACCCTTTGAGCATAGAGAAGTACCAAAATTTATAAAACAAAAGCGAAGAACAAAAGCAAGGAACTATGCATATTTAGATTTAGCCATGTTTTAGCCCAGAGAAAGTTGAATCCTTGTCCCTGGAGGTGTGGGGTGAGGTATGGTGACTGTTTTACTTTCAACATGAGGAACTGAAGACATAGTTTATCTTTCTAAAAGTTCTAATTTTGAAGGATCCACTCTAATCTCTAGTTACACTTTGATTTCTATATTTGTACAGGATAAATATGCCAAATGGCAACAGAATTCACAAAACGTGTTTATAAAGAGACTTCAGTTAATAGAACATGGAAAATATAGGAACTATACCTAAGAGGTTGTAGTAAAAAGAATATAAAATAAAAAGGACAAAAGTAGGTACGAGTTCAATGAAATTTGCAAGTTAATATAAAACTAGAGGAAGGGGGTGAATGACTAAGCTGGTGAAGAAAAGATATTTGGGGTATTGATTTTGAGGACACACACAGGTAGCTTGTTTCTTTAACGGCTGGAAAAGAAGGCTCCAGAGGAGTAACTCAGGTATTGTGGTTTATAATCATCATTTCTTCTTTGGGACTGGTTAAAATCTCAGCTGTTAAATTAGAAGTAACTAACTTCTCAATTAGAAGTAATTAACTTCTACAGGCTACTTACTGTAGTGTTTGAAGTTTAGAAGTTTACAGTGACAATCTTTCTACTCTCTTCATGATTTCAGAGATTTATAAAGTTTGGAGGGGTACTGAGAAAAGGGTATATTTTCAGTAATATTTTGCTTAGAAAGAACAGTAGTAGCAACTTGCTATTTAAATGAAAACACCAAGCTAGAATTTATGTTCATTGTGGGTTGTTGTATATGTACATGACGTTAATGCTCTATATGTCCCCTCATCCTCCCCTCTTCCTTCCACTCTCCTTCTCTTGGTCTTGGTCTTCTTCCCATTTGAAAATATCTCTTTCCATCTTCTTTTATCTGTCTCTTATTTTGCTCTTTATTTATGCTATGAATTTCTCTTAAGAGAGAAATCATGTGGTATTCAAGCTTTTGTGGCTGATTTAGTTCAATTAAATATATATATATATAACAGAAAAAAGAACAAAATTTCAAAACAAAATAACAGGAAGGTAACAATGGTTAGTATATCTTTAAATTAGTTACTCAGAGAACAAGACATAGGCATTTAATTGTCTAAACCATATTAGCACAAAACTTTCTTTTCAATGAACTAAGAGAAATTAATGGTATAACTATCTTGAACATATATATGGCTTTTCCCTTTCTGCTTTTCTCCATTCCCCCATCCATTTCTCTTTCCTTTTCAACAGTTTCTTTCCATTTTACAATATCTACTGTATAATTTGGATCTTATTTACTCTTTCAGGTTCTTACACTAGGGCAATAATACAATGTTTGCAAAAGTACATCTGGTTTATTTTACTTATGAGTATAGTCTCGAGTTGCATCCATTTACCTACAAAAGTCTCAAGTTTAACCTTCTTAATGGCTGAGTAGTACTCCATTGAATGAAAAGACCACATCATTTTTATTCATTCCTGGGGTGATGAACATTTGGGTGTTTTCCAAGATCTAGCTATTACAAACTATGTTACTATAACCATGGGTGCATATATATTGCTATGGCATGATATTTTTAATTCTTCTGGGAAGACACACAAAAGGGGAATAGCTGGGTCAAATGAGACCTCCAATCCTAGATTTTGAGGAATCTCCACACTGATTTCCACAGTGGTTGCAACAGTCTACACTCACACCAACAGTGGAGAAGAGTTCCTTTTTTCCCACAGCCTCAGCAGCATTTGTTATTGGTTGATTTCTTCATGGCAGCCATTCTTTCTGCAATAAGACAGAATCTCAGTGTTGTTTTAATTTGCATTTCTAGAATGACTAATGCTATTGAACATTTTTTCATATATTTATTTGCCATTTGTATTTCTGCATCTGAGAAATGTATATTCATCTCAGATGCCCATTTGTAGATTGGGTCTTTGAATTTTGGTCCTGATTTTTTTCAATTCTTTACATGTTCTAGACAGAAATCCTTTTTCTGAGGGACAGTTAGCTAAAACTTTTTCCCACTCTATGGGTTTTCTTTTCACTCTGTTGATTTCTTTTGATGCAAAAAAACTTTTTAATAAGATGAGACCCCATTTGTTGATTCTTTGAAGTACTTCCACTGAAGTTTGGTTTTTGTTCAAGAACTCTCTGACCACCCCTATCTCTTCAAGATTTCTACCTACTTTGTATTCCAGCATATTTAGTATTTCTGTTTTAATATTTAGATCTTTGACCCATTTTGACTTTAGTTTAGTGCCTGGTGATAGACATGGATCTAGTTTTAGTCTTTGACATGTGGAAAGTCAGTTTTTCCAGCACTATATATTAAAGAGACTATCTTTCTTCCAGTGAACATATTTGGCCCCTTTGTCAAAGATAAGGTGGCTGAGTGTGTTTGTAGTTGTGTTGGCGTCTTCTAATCTGTTCCACTGATCCTCAGATCTGGTTTTTTTTGCCAATACCATGCTGATTTTATCACAGTAACTTTGTGTTATAATTTCAAGTCAGGGATTGTGATGCTTCCTACCTTTCCTTTGTTGCTCAGGATTGCCTTTGCTATTCTAGTCCTCTTCTGGTTCCAGATGAATTTTAGGAATGTTTTCTCTAGTTCTGTGAGGTATGCTACTGGTATTTTGATGGGGATTGCTTTAAATCTATATAATAGTTTTGGGAGTATAGCCATTTTCACAACGTTGGTTCTTCCTATCCATGAGCAAAGAATATCTTTCCATTTTCTGAAATCCTCTTCAATTTCTTTTTTTAGAGTACTATAATTTTCAATGTATAAATCTTTTATTTCTCTTGTTATATTTGTTCCTAAGTATTTCATTTTTTTGGATGTTATTGTGAAGGGTATGGTTTACTTAATTTCTTTCTCAGTGAGTTTGTTGTTTGTGTACAGGAATGCTAATGATTTTTGAATGTTGACCTTGTAGCTAGCTATACTACTGAATCTGGTTATTAAATCCAGAAGTCTTTTGCTGGAGTTTTTTTGGGGGGTTTGTATGTAGAGTATCATTTTACCTGCAAATAATGATAATTTAACTTCTTCCTTTCCTATCACTATTCCTTTTATTTCTCTCTTTTGCCTAATTGCTCTGGCTAAAGTTTTTGGGACTATGTTGAATGAGAATGGAGACAGTGGACAGCCTTGTCTGTTCCTGATTTTAGAGTGAAAGCTTACAGTTTTTGTCCATTTAGTACTATGTTGGCTGTTGGTTTCTCATAGATGGTTTCTATCAGAATGAGAAAAAAATAATCTATTCCAATTTTCTGTACAGTTTTTATTATAAATGGGAGCTGAATTTTGTTAAAAGCTTTTTCTACATCTATTGAGATTATCATATGATTTTTGTCCTTGGCTCTGTTAATGTGGTGTATTAAATTTATTGATTTACATATGTTGAAGTATCTGTCTGTCCCTGGGATGAATCCCACTTGGTCATGGTGTGTAATCTTCTTGATGATTTGCTGCATTTTGTTTGCCAGTATCTTATTAAGGAATTTTGCATCTATGTTCATTAGGAAAATTGGCTTGTAGTTCTCTGTCTTAGTTGAGTCCACCAACTTTGGTATCAGGGTAACCCTTGCTTCTAAGAATGAATTTGTGCATATTATTTCCCTTTTATTTTAATTAGGATTTTGAGAAGTAAATCCTTTTATGCAAAAGACATTTTAGTCCATCTTGAAGAGTTGCCAAAGTCCTACATGGCACAAGATAAACATTACCATTCCAAAAGGTACAAACAGGAGGATACAAAGGATTGGGACCAAAGCAAGTACAAAATCCAGTGCTGTTAGGTCTTCTCTAAAGTTCTTGTAGAATTTAGCAGTGAATTTGTCAGGGACTAGGCTTTTCTTTAGTGGTAGGCTTTTGATTATATCTTCAATGTCATTGAATAGTAATGTTTATTTAGGATTTTTATATCTTTTTGATTGAGCTTTGGTAATTCATATGTGTCTAGGAGCCTATTCAGTTCCTCTGCATTTTCCATTTTATTAGACAAGTTTTCAAAATAGGTGTAGATGATCTTGATTTCTGCAGGGTCCATTGTGATTTCATCCTTTTAATTCCTAATTGCATGGATTTTAGCCTTGTCTTGGTTACTTTTCTCTCATTGCTGGGACAAAAATACCTGACATTCAAATTAAAGAAGGAAAGGTTTATTCAGATCACAGTTTGTGGAGGTTTCAGTCCATACTTGGCTGGCTCTAAGGCAGAGTAGCACATGGCAGAGGGCAAAAGTTCAAGGTGGTAGAAAACAGCAAAAGCAACAAGAGCAAAAGATAGGAGCAGCTGAGAACAAAGCTATTTCCTTCCTTTATACTGTATGGAATCTACCCCCCCTAGGGCAGGTATAGCACTCATACCCATAATCCCAGTGTTGGACCATGAATCAATCAAAAAACTCTAGAATCCATGACTTCATGAGGCTTCCCAGGGATATCTAGACACAAATCATAACATTCTGCCCCTGGTCCCTCACAGACTCATTCACATCCCTTTATGCAAAAGGCATTTTAGTCCATCTTAAAGAGTTGCCAAAGTCCTAACAGTTTCAGCCTTGAAAGTCTAAGTTCCAAGTCTCCTCTGAGATGTTAGGCAAACTCTTAGCATGAATCCCTGTACAAATAAAAAGTTAAACATTTCCAACATTCGATGGCACAAGATAAACATTACCATTCCAAAAGGTACAAACAGGAGGATACAAAGGATTGGGACCAAAGCAAGTACAAAATCCAGCAAGGCAAACATTAAGTCCTGTAGTTCCATGTGCAACATCTGAGGCAATCTGAGGTGAACTGTGAGCTCCATGTGGCTCCATCTCTATGGCACTTCTGGTGGTTGTAGCTCCAGTGGCTTTTCTCCTGAGCCTGCTCTGCTTCCTTCTTCAGTCCATACTTGGCTGGCTCTAAGGCAGAGTAGCACATGGCAGAGGGCAACAGTTTATGGTGGTGGAAAGCAGCAAAAGTGACAAGAGCAAAAGGGAGGAGAAGCAGAGAACAAGCCTCTTTCCCTCCCTTATATTGTATGCAAGCTACCCACCCCAAGGCGAGTGTAACACTCACACCCATAATCCCAGCATTGGACCACAAATCAATAAAAAACTCTAGAAGCCCATCCCATGACTTCATGAGGTTTTGAGGAACATCTAGATTCAAACTATAACAAGCCTTTTCCTTCCTTTTTTTGGTAAGGTTGAATAAGGGTTTGTCAATTTTATTTCATCTTTCAAAGAACAAACTCTTTGATCCATTGATTCTTGTATTTTTTGTAGTCTCCAATGCATTAATTTCTGCTCTGATCTTTATAATTTCCTCCCTCATATGAGCTTTCGATTTAGGCTGTTCTTCGTTTTCTAGTAGTTTGAGATTCACCTGTAAATTGTTTATTTGTACTTGCTCTGTTTTCCTGGTAAGAGTATTCTCTTCTGTAAATTTCTCTCTTAGGGCTACTTTCATTGTG